TGTTCTTCCCGTTCCGTGTCTCTCAATATAAACTTTGCTCAACTGCTTCGCTCCCAGTCAGATTCAAATTCAAGAGTCTCTTATTTTAGACGTTGAATTGAATCACATGACCACTAATTAACATAAGTAGTAAGTTTACCGCAAAAATCCTTTTGGATCACTTTTGGTCTTAAGATTATAAACTATGTTTTATTTCACACCATATTATTTACATCAATATAGTGAAAATTATAATTTAATTAGGTACTTTACAAACGACAAACATATATTTTTGGTCCTTCCTAACTTAATTAATACTTTTTATCCTTTATGATCTATTTATAAATTCATGTCACGTATTATATATGTTCAGTACTGACCTATAGTAATTTTTTTTTATCGGTTATAATATTCAGTTTACATCGAAGCATATAATGTTCTACCCAGTATATGTTTACTCGTGTAAATGTATGGTTAAGTGTGTAAATTTAAGTAAATTTAAATGTAAATTTTATTTCAACGGTTTGAAATTTTATATTTTTGGTCTACCACAATTCTAGATTAATGCAGATTAATAATAAGAAGACCCTCTACTTATTAATCTGTGAATGTATGTAGAAGTAAGTTTGGATACTTTAAACTTGCGACGAAATAAAAATAATGATAATGTATCCATTTTAAACTGAACATTTATTGTTACAGGTACTGGAAATAAAGCTGACTCAAGTCGTACAAACAGCATGTGATAAGCTGATCAGGTTAAAATGTATAAACACACAACCAAGCATTTCCTGAAGAAAAAAGTAAGTATACTTGATATTCAACATTCAAGGTCTAAAAGACATTATGTCATAGTTTTATATTTTCTAATAACAAGAAATATGTGTAAAATTATAATGCTTTATTTGTTTGACAATACATATAGCAATAAAATTCGTAAATTGGACAAGGGTGAACCAATTTCAGTGCTGGAATCGGCACTTAGAATCTGTAAACTGGGACACTGATAGAAGGATATAGTAATCAATTAATTAATATTTTTTGTTTTTAATTTAGTTTAGTTTTGGAATAATTCCATCCTCTTTGAATTATCCGTACATTAAGATTTTTTTGTACTTTACAATACGTTCTAACTTTAACGTAATGATCAGTTGTAATATTTAACATTTAAGGTTCTGATGAATACACTTAAGAAAGTAATAATCTTATATTCTGTCGCTTGCTCCAGTATTTTATGAAAAATATTTTGAATTCTTCAAAATACTTGCAATCTATCTATTAGGATTTATATATTTTTTTCTTGTATGGTCACTTGACCATACTTAAGTCATCCTGTTCCTCTATTTAACTTAATTATTTTCCTTAATATTATAATAAAAAAATCGAAATATCGCATGCATAAAGCACGTTAAAAAATTTATAACAAAATTCTTTAGTGATGTCAGCTTATTTTTGATAATAATTCATACCGCGATTTTTTTAGCCGCCCCTTTTGTTTGGCAAGCATTTTAATAATACATAGCTTTCTGCAAAAAGATGTGACTGTTGTTTTGGTTAACAAACTCATAACATTGTATTTTCTAAAAATGAACTATCACGAGAACAAGATGTAGAAACATCGAAAGGCACAACTCAACTACAAAGACGATTGTTTCTGTAATGGAATCGCTTTATTTCATCTAATTTTAATGAGTTTTCCGTAATATAGGCAAGTCCCGGGGATATTTACGGAATTCAAATACCTTACCATCTTACACCATTTCTATTTCTGTCATTTTAATATTAAATTGAACCGGAAAATTCTCACGGAATCCATACAAAGTTTATAGCATTCATAATCAAGTTATCGGGGAACTTTCGCTATAATAAATAAATAAAAATATCTTTTAAAATTGAGTGTCCATCAGCTATAAATTATAATTAATAACCAAATGAGTGAAAAATCAATTTAAATCTTTTCTTCTTCCAAGCTTTTAATGGTGTTTCGTGTATGCATATATTTTCAATGTTTAAATAGCAATTATAAAAGATCATTTTTGTTCATATTTTCCCGGCGTTAGATTTATTTTAAAGTTTTTTTTTTTAATTATAGTAAACCCATATCATTGTAAGAATTTGTGTGAAATTTGTCGAATGAAATTATAGCTCTTTGTTAGACATTCGCTTAAAAAAAAATTGTTGAAGACTTACAAAAGCAAAACATTTAATTTAATTTATGAATATATAATTATTTTTAAAGCTGATTCAGTGCCTTTATTCAATTGTAGGCTGCCTTTAAATTTAAATCGGAAAGTATTCCGTTTTATTTGAGTGGTTGACATAAAAAATTATTTTTAATTTTCGCGACAATACTTCAATGGATCTATTTTGTTTGACTTTTGAAAATGTGAATAGTCTTTATTTCGATGCATTGCCTCTTTGACTGGACTAAAAGGGACATGGATGAATATTTTATATATAAATTTATATATATCTCTTTGTTACAAAACTTTACATTTATCTACTTCAAACACGAAGGCTACTTAACTTATTTTTGGTTACGCCTACAATTTCTTTGGTCTCATTTCAATTTTGTTATCATTAGCAAATGTTTTCAATATATGACTTAAATGTAAAGTTTATGTACTTAAATAAACATACTTCTTAAATACAAAACGGAAATAAAATAGCGTTAAATGGAATAATGAAAAGGTCGCTTCTATTATATCTAATCATTTTATTGTTTTATTCTTAAAAAATCATAAAAAAACTATAGAATTTATTTCCATATTTTAAGGTGGCCAATTCTTTTAGGAAGTTTTAAAATAATAATAAGATTTTTAACTACGTTCATCGCACAGATGGTGCACAATTTTCTCGCGAAGTTAAGCCGATTAAATTTTTTACTATCCCTGAATTAATTCTTCTAAGATTCTTAATATTCATATTCAAGATCATATATCAATATCAAAAATAGTCAGATTTTTATACTGAAATATACGCATTTTCATAAAAAATAACATATTGCAATTAACTTAATGTATGTGGTAAAATATTATGGTTCCTGTTTATTTCGTAACTTTGAAATTACTCGGTATTCTTACATACTGCAGAAAAATATGCAGCGTTAGTATATTTTTGTATTTATATTTTTATGATATCTATAAAAATAGTATATTTTTTAAATATTTAATAGCGGAGTATATTAAAAATTCTAAATTTAATTGAGACTATAATAATTTATCACAGAAATGCTCTTTTGTTTTCTTTTTTATTTTTATTTATAGTACAGTCTATATACTTGTACAATACTTTATGCATTATGCGATTGATTCATTAAAGATCCTTAGACTTTAAACATATATAAAATAATACTACATACTGCCAATTAATACCAATAAATACGTCGTTTATGACTTATATTTAAAAGTGCATAGAGCTTAAAATATCAGAGGCCGCAGAACGTAATCCCTGCGTGAACATTAGTGATGTCCTGCCCATTAAGTAATCTAAATTATTCTGGGACATTCGTGAACAATAGTTTGTATCCTTTACTACGGACTAGTACGATCCTGTTAAGTTTTAAAGACTCGGACTTTGAATGGATTTTGCTCTGTAATGTGGTATATTAGGACCTTTTGTTAGTCGTGTTATTTCCGGGAATGAGCAAGTTTTATATAAATCTTCGTGATTTTGATTTGAACAAAAACCATCCAACTATTAATATTACGAATGGAATTTTGATATATTATATACGTTACTTATTCAGCAAAACTGTTCAAATGAATAGGATATTTTTATGAACATAAAGCTAATATTTACTACATTATATAACAATGATTTAAACTTTGTATTCAATTGTAATGTTTATTCAAACTATGACTAAAATAATCTGGGACTGAATATCTGAAAGCATTTGTTAGTATTAGGTCTCAGTCTTTTAAACTTATTAGTACTAACACAATTTCAACTCAAGATAAACATTGTGATACAACAAGACCAAAATTTCTCAAAATCCATGTCGTGTTTTCAGAAATAAAATTTTCCAACAAGTTTCTTATCTTCACGAACAACGTCGTTAAAATTCGAGACATATTCTGTCAATGCTTGATACCTTCATAAATTGAGTAGAATTTTCTCATCAGAGATTTGTCTTTAATCTAAAATGTTTAAACATATTATATGTTGTGGAAATATGTAATTAGATTACATTTAACAATTTTGATTGGACTGTTTACTAATTGTCGCTTTAATTAGATCACAAAATTATGTATAATCTAAATATATATATATTGCTTTTCGTTATGTTTTACGTGTTTCACCATGAACAGTAATGAATATATCTTTTATTAGAACATGAAAAACTATTTTGCATCCATTAACACGCGAGATAACCTGACGCCATACACTACAACGATTAGAAAGCTTAAAACTTAATTAAATATAACTTTCCTTTATTTTTCTAAGATAACTAATTAAGCATTTTGATTAGGCTTTTTAGTTGGGTGGGAATATATGCGCAAACATTAATATGTCTTACGTTGAAAAAAATCTTGTCGACTCTCTGTTGATCGAACATTTCAGCGAACCAATGGTTCTCCAAGTACACTTGAAAGTTTTCTTGCAGGTCAAGTGGCTCGTCATTAACGGGAGCAAAAGTTATTATATTTTAAGGGTATATTTTAATAAGAATAAGTTTAAACATTTTGTTCCAATATGTCACTAACCCACTAAACCACATTGGAGCTGCGTTGTGGTTTATTCTCCTAGCCCTTTTTATCCCTTAATTAGGGGTGTAGCTGTGGATAATTACATTAGCTTAGTTTTCATCTATTAAAACAAAAGTCCATTAAATAAATATGAACTTTGTATTACATAATACATAAGTTGGACTTAATAATTCAATTTCAATAGAAACAATGTACATTTACAGTGAACATGCAGATTAGAGTAAAATACATTTCCACGTAATTTTATATTGTACCACATACTGACTGCACTGCTCGTATAGTTTAAAATGAAATTTAGAATATAATTGATATTTAACTCTTCGTCCAACTGGTCGACCACCTGATCGACAACTGATCGTCCAACTGATCGTCCAACTGGTCGACCAACTGATCGTCCAACTGATCGTCCAACTGGTCGACCAACTGATCGACCAACTGATCGTCCAACTGGTCGACCAACTGATCGTCCAACTGGTCGACCAACTGATCGTCCAACTGATCGTCCAACTGATCGTCCAACTGATCGTCCAACTGGTCGTCCAACTGGTCGACCAACTGATCGTCCAACTGGTCGACCAACTGATCGTCTAACTGATCGTCCAACTGGTCGACCAACTGATCGACCAACTGATCGTCCAACTGGTCGACCAACTGATCGTCCAACTGATCGACCAACTGATCGTCCAACTGGTCGAACAACTGATCGTCCAACTGGTCGAACAACTGATCGTCCAACTGGTCGACCAACTGATCGACCAACTGATCGTCCAACTGGTCGACCAACTGATCGTCCAACTGATCGTCCAACTGATCGACCAACTGATCGACCAACTGATCGTCCAACTGGTCGACCAACTGATCGACCAACTGATCGTCCAACTGATCGTCCAACTGATCGACCAACTGATCGACCAACTGATCGTCCAACTCGCTTCTATCTAAAAACAAACAGGGTCTAACCCTCGCAGCGTCTACTCAGCGTTACACAATACAATATTTGAATCCAGTTCCGGTTATGAATCTTTAATATATGTAGGTACAAAAATATAACACGATTCTCATATAAATTTCTTTAACACGAACGAGAAAAACTTGTACGAGAATTTACTAAGAATATAGAAACTCTGGATAAAATCTTTATACTTTGATCGTATATATTCCTCGATACGTCACTTGCTATCTAATGCGAACAAATTTTGTATATCGTTGATTGCATACATTTGGTACACAAAAAGCTTTCTTTTCAATTTACTAGGTGTAACTTGTCAAAATCGTGCTGTCAATAAATTGTATTAAATGTTACTGTGTTATAAATATAGGCATAAATTGTGTTCAAATTATACGAGATAAAAAGAAAATTTAATTTGCAATGTCATAGAAAATCTGGAGGCAAAATCATCATACTAAATGAAATTTTTAATTCACTTTATTAATAATAACAAGGAAATAGTCCAAACTGACAAAACAGATGACGTTACTATGGTTACAAGAAATCAGGGCTGTGATTGGACAATTGAGTTTTGACAATGCCATTAACATTCGGTTAGCCGACATTCCGTCTAATGGACGGAGCTCCAGAGCAGGAATTGATATTAGTGGCTGATTAAGACATTTAAACGGACATTTGTGCGTGGTGGGACGCTCGATACATCTAATAGAGCATCAAACGCCTTAACACGATTTTACTTATTTAACATTGATTGGTGAAACTGGGTCTAAGACTAGATATTGTCCACGGATCGTTAATGAGTACTGGTCACTTATTTAACGCGTATAAAAACGTGTAAAAGAAAGTTTGAGTAATAAGACGCGATCATATCATAATTTAGTGAAAATGATTTGAATCTATAAAAATAATATTCGTTATGTAATCTCCGACCCAAAAAGCGGGGTGTTATAAAATTGATGTATGTAGATGCTGCGTGTGTGTCTGTATGTGGAATGGTAGCTCTCAAAGGGATCATCCAATTTCGATGTTTTTTTTTAATCTGAAAGCCAATCACTTTGCAGTAGTTCTTATCTATGTTTGGCTAATATCGATCAAATTTAGGAGCACTTTTTCAAAATGATGTAACTTATTTTTGTCCCATGATTACGTGATCTTGAAATGACAATTGATGTGTGGTCTATTTTTTATTAAATAAATTTTTCAGTTATTTATATTTTGGCAACTATTTTATTAGGTTTATATAAAACTTTAAATCCTGTTTCCCATATCTAATTACAGAAAATTAAATTACCACGCAGCTTGATACTGAGTGATTCATGGCGATTCATACTACGAGTACAAGACTTTGCTGTTTTGCTCCGATACGTTTTTCATCAAATGGAACTGGTTGCTACTTGCCACGTTCTTTCAAAATTTTTAATATTATCGCCGTTACAATAATTGGTTCGTTAATACTGTTATTAAAATATTTTTCAAGTCACAAAATGAATCCTTGGTGGTGTTTAGTATGATCATTGGAAACCTGTTCTTATTCAAAGGATACTGTATACATATAGTATGTATAGTCACATTATTTTTAGTAAAGACGAGTATTATATTATGCACAAATACATATAATATTATGAGGCAATGTATTTTAAAAATGAAGTGATAAAATCTTTGAACATCTGTAACGATCAGTAAAGCATAATAAATATTTATAATACATAGAATAAATTATTTTATTTAAATGCTGCATATTTAAGGCTAAAAACAAAAACATATTATTGATACATAAAATTATTTCAATAAAACACTACAAGGACATTAAACAATATACGAATACTTTTAAGTGTGTCATTGGAACTTTGGAACTAATATACAAAGAAGGAAATATATTACTATAAATGGACTATTTTATCTATTTATTAATTTTCAAAATATAATATTAATTTGTATTTACATTTTTAGGACTGTTTCTGTCATACAGGGTTTACTATTTCGTAACAATTAGCACAGACAGTGTTTACCAAAGAAGATTCTTATTTTATAGCGTTCAAACAATGTTAAATATGACAATATTTCTTTATGGAGCTTTCAAGAATGAAGTGAGGATTAAAGACTATCTGATGTATGGAAGTAAAATATATAAGGTATGGTATTTACTTTTAAGATTTGTTAATGACTGTCAATTAATATATCAAAAATAATTTTAGACAATAAGATGCTTAAAAACTGGTAAAGAAATGCCAAAATTAGGATGGCAATTTCATCTGGACACATGTTTTTGAGGCATTCTCGCAATGTTTGATGATGTTCCCGTTAATGAGATTTTTGTTATAATGTGTAACCATTTATTATGGCATCATTATTCAATTTACTGCCATAAATCTTCTTCAGCTGCAATTTGTGAATATGGCAAATTCCATCAGCGTTCCATTTATAATGTTCAGAGCAGAATTAAAAATAGAACTAACTAGATTGACTGACAGTGGATTGTTAGTTTTAACTTGATCGTTATATTTCAAACAAACAATTTATATATTAAGTATTGTATTGTTAATTTCATGGACTTTAAAGTTAGCATCAAAAGAATTTACGTTCACTAAAAACATTAAAATTTCTGTTTCAGGGATTTAAATATAACTTTGGAATCAATCAATGCTGCCATTGATAGGAACGGTGCAGTCGATAACACACCTCAGAGTACGTTAATACAAATAATGTCTCATTAATACATAATTAAGTTTTATGTTATATATTCGACACATATTTATTATTTTTTTAGACGACAACACTTTTAAAAGGCAGTTAACAGCGCAGAGGATCAGTCAAATCAAAAAGTCCTTCGTTCAAACATGTGATGTTTTAAAGGATTTCAATACCTCAGATAACTTTTTGTTATTTTTGTTACTTGTGTTGTTTATTTTCAATATTGCATTTACGATATACAGTATTCTTCATACACAAGAAGGTATAAATTTAAAATTGAACAAAATTGTAATTGTTTTGTTTTGTTTTATATTTTTTTATTTCAATGATGACCAGAATTTAATTATCTTTCATGAACCGGGCAAGTATGTTATTAAAGGGAAAAAGAAGAGTGTTTTAATTTTGATTAAAATTATATTTAAATATTTTTTAAAATAGAATTTTATTTGTAAATGTTATGTTCTTATATAAATATATTTATTTTCTGTTACTTTAATGACACGATTCAATTCCTATAATGAGTTTATGACCAATGTTGCACTTTGAGAACCTAAGAAAAAAATGTTTTAGCTACAAAACTCTATGGATCGTTTTGCACTTCCATTAATGTTAAACCTAAAACTTTATATTATTGGATTGTAAGAAAATGTTACTGCTGCAAGTATTTGACTTTAATAAAAAAAGTATAGCCTTAAGAATCGTTATTGAAATACATGTCTTTAAAATACACAAAACACTGATAAACATATTTGTTATATATTTTTTTATATACATATTAGTCTTTGTAATAAAAATAAAGCATATTATTTGTTATGTGAAGATGATAGCATACATACAGCGTTCATTTTTTTGTCAAGTATCTTAAGTTGCCTATAGAAATCTTCAAGATAAGAGTAATTGTGAATGAGGTGCCGGCCTTAAATTTCTGCGAGAAATTTGTTTTTAAACCATATATCCCAAATTAATAGATTGACGCTATTATAAATAATTAATACTTTTGAAGATTCCTCGTTGAAGGACGACAATTTAAATTGAGTCAAAACAAGTCTAAATTCAGGACAACTGATTTTAATTCAAATTCTTTTTAACTGTATCAAATTAAGTTGATGTAGCAAATTGAGTGACCTCGAAGCAAAGTTGAGAATAGTACTCCAAGCGGAGACATTTCTATACTTTGTAAAATAAGAACAAGTGCAGTGATGTAAAGTGCTGCCTTGACTTAATCTATTAGAACAGGAGTCTTTAAAAATGTTTAAGTATAAGTTAAAAAAAATATTTGCTCAATATATATAATAATTACTTACTTTTGTTCTGAAACCATAAACCAAGTTTTGTGATAATTCATACAGAAATAAAGATCTTAAAATCTTCTTAGAACTATACTTAAAACAGTGTTTTTGTAAACATATAAAAGCAGACACAAACAGTATTTAAATTCTATCTAGATAATATAATACATGATTAAAGATAATTTGTTGCAATAAGCGTGAAATGAAGGTATCGCAGAAAGCTGAATACTAAGACTTTTTAAATTTATATTTTTATTTAAACATATGTATATGTAAAATTTCAGATTTGAGTTAAAAACGTTCAAAGCTTTATTATTTACAATATTTTAGCGTTTTAAGAGAAGGAACAATGGAGTCTAATCATTCAGTCTGATTGTAATTTCTTGTATTCACATGGCCTCTATTGCATTGAGTCATTTATATTCAACGTTTGTTAAACCACTCGGTGATGAAACATGATGTACATATGTAAATTTGATTATTTCTAAATAAAAAAGAATTCCTATATTTATAATTTAATAATAGGTACTTTTGTAAAACTATAATTTAACTGATTATTAGAAGTATCTATAATCTTGTGGAATCTTAAGAAGCTTTAAGAGAACTTATATAATATATTTTTAACTTCAAAATATCAAATATACTTCAAATACTTACAATGTTCTTATGTATAGTGTCTGTACTTTACTTTTCAATGTCAAGAAAGGAGATGGAAACTGGTGGGCCCTAAGTGTAATTAGTTCAAAATTGATTTAAAAAATTACTTTATTTTTTTGTATGAAATACCAATAATCTGCATAAATTCTCAATCTACAAGCGGAGAAATATGCAAATAACTGTTTTTATGAAGCAATCGATTAACGATTAATTAAATAAAAAATGATTATTCGATTATTTAACTACAAAATAAATTTTCACTCCTAGTTTTAAACTTATAGTAACTTCATTTAAACTACACCATAAATGTCTACAATTCAATAAAAATAACTTTTAATAAC